CATAGGTCCTAAAAACAGACGCGGTGGAACACATATAGAACATGCAAAAGAAACATGCAGTAACCATAAAACAAACATAATAGTTAATAACAAACATAGTAGTAAATAAAAATTAAACAAACAACCAACAACAACCAACATACTGAGACACCACTGAAACAAGAACATAGAAGGGGAGAATGTAGTGACGAGACTAATTCCATGGCCAATTATGCGTGTAATTCATAGGAGTGACAGAACATGCAGTGGATGTTGAATTTTCTTCCGGCTCATGTGCACCGTGAGTGGAGTTGTCGTTTTTGGGCTGATTCACGGAGCCATCATTAGACCCAGTTTGACTATGTATGGATTGCTTCGGTTTAGGGGCCTTCGAAATGCTACCCAGATAAAAGGCAGGACGCGGTGGTTGTTTCTTACGTGGGATGTCCGTTCGAACAGGGTAGGGCACTAACCTACTAGGTGGCACACGCTTTGGAGTGTAGTCCTCAACATTTATAACTTCAACATCTTTTCCACATACCTTACCTTTTTTTCTTATTGTCTTCGGTGTCGTTGTCAGAAATATAACACCACTCGAATGGAGATACGTACGGTGGCTCCACGTAAAACAACTCGACAATTTTGTTATGCAGTGGATCACCTTCTGTCATGTACGCGATGGCAAAATCATCCCACTATGTAAAAAAAAAAATTAATTTAGTTTGTACATCCATCGTTCCTTGGTGTATGAAATGAAATGTAAATCATTTAAGAAAGCTCACATTAAACAATTGATACCAAGTTTTGTCCGAAGCATTGTACTTGTTATGCTCGACGTCGTATTGAACACCATCCTTGTCTTTCAGCGCTGTGAAGATATCATGTCGTTTGGCATACATTCCAACGCGGGTACCGATGTACTCTACCGTGAAATTCTTGGAAAACCACGCATTGAATGCGTTCGTAGCACCAAGTATGGACTCACTATTATCTGCAAAAGGAACAAATATACCACACAACTTATTTTCAAGTAAATAGTCGATTAGAAACTCATCAAACTTTGGTGTCCAATGTAGGTCGTACAGATAGTCGGCCTGCACTACACCAAAATCAGGAGCCATCGACTTTAGTAACAATAGCAGATATTTGTGGTTTACTTCTTTTTTACGTTTGTGGAATTCTTTGTTGTCAAGTGTGTGGTTTAAATAGGGATGTATCAACGTTCGGTATGCTTAATGACGCACATGGCAAACCAAGTGATGTCTAGTCAATTCAGACGTGCAGTGAATTCTAATCAACTCAGCTTTGCAACAAAAGACTGATACCTACTTGTAGGCCTGCAACGATTGGTCATATCATGCCATAGAGTCGTGAAACACTCTAGTCCAATCAACCTCAGCTAAAAAGAAAAGCTAAACCTGAAAAAGCGTAAGCCTACCTATAGACTTGCAGTGAGTTGTCACTTTACGTCATATCAGGTAATGGGCAATTTAGCCCGTTTGACCAACAATGCAAGCATTTAATTTAAATTGAAAGTTTATATTGCAATACAGGTATGCACACAAATATGTCATTAATTCAAAAGTACAAAGTAGTTATACAAAAGATCAGTCAAAACACAAAAAAAAATGTACAAAGTGGACTTGAATCAAAGAACATCATCAGAAATGGTTTTACTTAGCCGGGATTATTTCCCTTGTAAGTGTGTCGTTTAAATAGAGAGGTATCATGTTTCGTTATCAGTAATGCTTCACATGGCAAAAGCTAGAAATCATGGATGGCAAGTAAGTGATTTCTAATCAGTTCAGGCATGCAGGATTGATCATATCATGTCTCTTACTTTGTGAATCTTTTGACCAACTAAAGTGGCATACGCATGCACCTACACATGCTCGTGAAGTCCTTTTACTGCAAACAACTCGGATTTAAAGAAAAGCTTAAGCCTAACTATAGACCTGGCGTGATTTGTTATAGCACGTCGTGTCAAATATAAAACTTTTGACCATGAAGTAAACAACCCCTCAATGGCCAATTTCATCCCTTTTGACCAATCATATAATAATTTTAAATTGAAAAGACGAATGCATAGTAAGTCATCATTAATACAATACGGTACAAAGTAGGTTTGCAAAATATCAGTTATTAGAACATCATCATACTTTACTCTACCAACTTACTTAAAAAACAAAAGACTAATAACAAAGAAAACCATGCACCAAAATGTAGATTTCATAAATTTGACTTTCTTCTCCAAGCTCTCAACTTTACGGACAACATCATCAAGGCTCACCTGCAGTTCTACAATTTTTGTTGCTTCAATCTCCAAATTAAGGCCCAATCACTTTATTCTCATTTTCCAACGCTTTTTTCTAAGATTTTAAGTCCAGCCGCTCTGATAGCAATTTATCCATCACATTTTTGCACAATAATTGCTCATGCAACTGGTCCTTTTCTGCCTTAAGCTTGTTAAAACAAGCCTTTTGGAACGGCGGCAACTCGGGATCAATCCATACAAACAGGTTACAAGGCTTTTCAGCATCATTGAACTATGAAAATCAAAATAATTCAGAGGCCAAACTTCATGTTAGATACATGGTTAGAAAATAAAACACTACATAACCAACACAACCAGATGCAACCAACAAAGGTGGTTTAACCACCTAAAAAAAACTACTCATTTTCAAACTGAAATAACCCTGAACAAATGCATAACCAACATCAAGGCAAATAGAATTTTGAAGCCCCCCCCTCCAATACAGATGCACAAGAACACAATGACCGATAAATCAAGGTTAAAATTGCATCTCACATAAAAAAACAAACAAGACTCAATCAAAATACCACCACGATAAAATGCAGTTTCCAAATTTGTACTGCACACATTAATAAAACAAATAGCCATTGGCATGCTTGTTATAATTATACAAACAACCTTAAAAGGCAGTGAGATAAAAAATTTACCTTCCGGCGAGGACATCTGCAGAACCTTCGAGCTGGATTGTCACTCGTCATTGATGTGAACACATTGGTTGCGTCGCCACAATCACATAGCCTAACCTCAAATGGACTACTAGAGGATCGGCTATATCGATTGTTTGAACTCGTGTGAGAAGTATTTGACATCTTGCTTGGCTGAAAATGTGAAGATTAATAACGTACGAGTCATTTCAATCAGGATAAGAAGAATAACATAAAGCAAGGTGTGACATAAACAAGCACATAGCAATACTGCAACAATTTACACTCTACAGCCAGCACATACCAATACTACAAAAAATTCACTTTCTAATATTATGTTACTAAAAACCAACTGCAGCCAGCACATACCAATACTACATATTATGTTACTTTACACTAACATAAACAAGGGAATAACAATACTACAACAATTTCACTTTCTAACAAATTAGGAAAACCAACTACAGCAATTTATACTAACATAACAATACTGAACATTAAGCACATAAACAACACATAAAAGGGCACTTAATTGATTTAAAATAGCTAGCTTTAACTCTAAGCATGCTTAAAAACTGATTCTTAGTTGAAACTTAACCCCTCAAAAATGATAATTTCAGCACAAAATATAATATAACAGAAACTTCAAAATGGTGACATAAACAAGCAAGGTAACAATCACCACATAAACAACAACATGCTTCTCTTTCTTTTTCTCTTCAAACTTGGTTAAACTTAAACATGAAATGAACTCTTCGAAACTGAAAGCTTAAGCCAAATATCAGCCTGAAATCAATCACATTTTCAGCACAGAAGTAACACAAGGTTCAACTATACACAAGGCAACACAAGGATAAAAGCAACTTGCAACATGCTTTCTCTTTCTCAAAATTTAAAACAATGTAGTTAAACTTTTCAAAACTGAAATTCAGGTAACATAACCTATCATTCATATAACCACTGTCTAAATCTAATAATTGAAAAGCATAACACTACAAAAAGAAGTAAAGAATGAGAAAAGCCTAAGGCCACATAGCAGGATAGTAATCTGAAAATTAAGCACATAAACACCACATAAAAAAGCTCTTAAGAGGCTCAACAACTTCATAAATAAAGGCAAAGGTCGAGAATGAGAAGAAAAACAAATTACCTAGTACTTGGAAAATGAATTACGGAAAAGCTCTGACCCCCTCACTGCACGGCCGTCGGTGCGGTATAAGTGAAGCCCCTCTAGCTCGGAAGAACGTCGTCGACGATGGAAGTCAAGACATCGCGACTTCTCAATTTTTCACAAACTGAGTACAATTGCAAATTCCCAATTTGTCACAAAATTTGATAAAATCAAACACAAACAAACAATTGTTCGTAGAACAAAGAAATTTCCATTTGACGAAAAAAAGGCAAAAGTCGAAAGTAAGAAGATAAACCCTAAAACCTAGTACTTGGAAACACAATTAACGGAACAACTCTTACCCCTCAGTTCACAGACGTCGGTGCGGTATATGTGAGGCCACTATATATCGGAAGAACGTCGTCGACGGTTACAGTCAACAAATCGCGGCTTCTCGTCGGGAGAAATGATGGAGCTTCTCGTCGTCGCGATGCCTTCAGACGAATTAGGGTTAGCGCACATTCGAAAATGAGTGCAGTGTTTGGGGGAGAAATCAACTGAATTTGATATTTTGTGTACATGAGGGTAATTTTGTCTTTGACCTGAGTATCCTGTCACTTAATCCTTGGAAGTAAATACGGGATTCATTTATGCGAATCCTAACCTGAAAAGTAAACAAGGGACTGTGTGCTGACATGTAAAGTTGCCTTGAGATTATTTATTTTATCCCAACCCGCAAAGTAAACGACTCCTAATAGATTTTTGTTGTTATTATCATTTAATTTTAAAAATAATTTTTTTAACATGTTTCCTACACGGTGTTGTACTACTATAAAATAATTTAAGAGACGAGAGCAAACTGCGAAGAAGCCTCATTTAGTCGGTCGGGGAGCTCTAAAAGCCTCCGGCGAATGAACGAACATATTATCCGGAGCGGATTCTGCCGTAAATAATGGCACTTAGTTGGTGCTTCGCATGCCGCAGTCGCCCCATTACCCCCCTTTCTTTTCTCTCTCCCCGCCGGAACTCTAGCCCTAGGCGAAGAACCCTCCACCTCCATTCCCACCCACCGCCGCCAATCACTTCCCCTTCCCTCCACGAAGATTTCACCTGGGACGATGTCGTCAACTTACCCCTAACTCCTCCCGATCTCCGCGGCTTCTTCGAGAAAGTGGCCATATGCAACCGCGACTGCGGCAAGCTGAAATCCGAATTCATCCCGTTCACCGTCGACGGCAACTTCGTCGGCCACATCCACCGTGAATTCGCCGGGAAGTACCTCCGGCCTCACAAAGACGTGTTCACGTTCCTGGAGAAGGAGCGCGTGGAGCTACATCCAGATCTGGCCACGCCGGACCGCAGGACAGAAGCCGTCGGCCACGTCATAAAGCGGCTGTGCGAGGAGGAAGACGAGCTCATCCCCGGAATACGGAACGAGATGTACCCGGTGAAATCCTCGTTCGGGTCGCCGGAGACCTTTTTCTTGCTGGAGCGGGCAGCTGCTCCTTATTTTGGTATAAGGGCCTACGGTGTGCACATGAACGGCTATGTCGAGGGAGTAGACAAGGACATGAAGAAGCATCTGTGGATTGGAAAGAGAAGCAGTTCAAAATCGACCTACCCGGGGAGGCTCGACCATCTGGTGGCGGGAGGCCTGCCTGACGGGCTGTCGTGCGAGGCGAATATCGTCAAGGAATGTGAGGAGGAAGCCGGAATTCCAAGATCCATTTCAAGCGGGGCAAAACCAGTGGGGGCCGTGTCGTATGTGGACATCGACGGGTACAGAGTGAAGAGGGATGTTCTGTTTTGTTACGATTTGAAGGTTCCGGAAGGGTTTGTGCCGGTGAATGAGGATGGGGAGGTGGAGAGCTTTAGGATGATTGAGGTTGAGCGTGTGGCAGATATTGTGAGGGCTACCGGTTTCTTCAAGGATAACTGTAACCTGGTCATCATTGATTTCCTGTTCCGGCATGGCTATATTAGGCCCGAGGAGCCCGGGTATCTGGAGCTGCTGCGGAGCTTGAGGAACGGGGATTGTACCTAAAGAGTGTGAAAATATGAAACAAAAATTGATGATATAAAAGTAAGTGAGGTTGTTCAATTGCGCTCATCTTTCTTTCTTCACTGTGCAACTGTGAATTCTCTTCTTTCTCGGTTACTAATTGCCCGTGTTATGTTCCGTTGCGTTCAGTATAGTATAGGCATCCATTACCACTTGTTAGAGATGATAATTAGTTTGATGAGTCGGTAGAAAGGCCAATTAAAGGTGAAGATATTAGAGCTGGCGGGGAAGATGCACATTTTTGCATCAAGCTTCAATGTACTGTTGAACTTTGAACCTTTTCTTTTTTTTGTTTTTTTTTTCCCTAAACGCTAGAATTTATAGATAAACTCATAAATACAACTAGAACCCAACTAGAAAAACCCCAAACAACTATCTAGGTGAATCTAGCAAGTGGACCTCAGATTCGGTAGCCTAGAAGACTACATAACTCACCCACGAGACAAAGCCTAATTAAACAAGTCCCAAAACGGGACCTCCTAGTAGAGGAGAATAAGCTCCTAAACATGAGAAACACCAAAATCACAAAACGAAAACAAGAAACACAGAGACAACAACACAAACACTACAAAACAACACAAACTAAATAGAATAACACCCTTTTTCTAATCGGCGAAACAAACCGTACACGTATCGGCCCGACACCCAGAGATAGACGCCCATACGAATGGGACTCTGGCCCTGAACCAAAACTCAAGTAAACCACGGCTAACTGGAATTGCATCAGACGACCGCAATCTTCTCTGGACGGACTACTCCTGGACAGGCAACAGGAGGACGACTCCGCTCAGCCCCACCCCCTCAACTGGCTCCACAAAAAACCCTCGGCCAGTTACAACCACGCAAGTCGAAAGCCCGATAGGCCGACCGATCAATCAACAACACAAAGCAGGGTGACATGGCAGAAGGAGGAAAGCATAGGCAACCTTGAAATCGGCAAGCCCTACGCCTGGCT